TATGTGGGATGCCACCACAGCATGACTTGATGAGCAGTGTGTAGGTCCATGCCCAGGATCCAAACTGGTGAACCCCAGACCACAGAAGAGGAGCATGAGAACTTAACCACTACACCACCAGGCTGGCCCTTTTGTTGCTCTTTTTTAATGGTTCCTACATCAATGCCTTTGCACTAGCAGAAATTCAACAAGGATGTCTTAAATACCTAGTGTATGTCAGGCATTGTGTCTGGGGGTACAGTGAACAAAACCAAGTTTCTACTTTCATGGAGTTCACATTCCAGAAGTTCCTTCTGTCCAAAGACCTTCCCCCCAGATTCTCACAGGGCTCACTCATCCACATCATTCAGGGATTTGTTCAAATGTCACCTCTTTGAAAAGGTCTTCCCTGAATATCCCATGTACAATGGCCTGCCCCCACCACCCCACCAATCTCCACCCCGGACCCTGATTGATTGTTTTTCATTAGCACCTGAAATTATATTTGTCCATGGTTTGTTTCTTATACTCTCTTTCCTTAGACTCTAAGCTTCAAGAAGGCAAGGATTTTGCCTACCTTGGTCACTGCTCTATTCCCAACTCCTGGAAATGCCTGAACCATCAATATTGTTTAATAAATAAATGATGAACAGTTCACTGGGGACATTTAATATGCACAAACTTTTCCCTTTGGGAGCATTTAACTATGTTTTTCAAGAATATTTAATAACAGTGAGTTCCTCAGAGGCATCTAAAGAGGGTCTCACTATCACAGCCATTTCTCTTGAAAAAAGCCCTTTCTCACACATTCATTTAATTGACGTGGCTGTTCTCCCTGCACTAAAAATTGGGCTATGCAAGCAGAATCCGCATATAATTCTGCCCTCTCTTAGCATCACTAAAACCCAAACTGAAAGCACACGCGTGAAAGAGATGACGAGTCCTTCTTTTTCTGGAAACTTCCATGGCATATTGATCCACCTGTCTTCCTGATACAATGCTGCACTTTTTAAACTGTGAAGTATGCCCTTGAAAGGGAGCTCCGTCTTTCCCAAATACCCTCAGGGCTGAAGCCTGGGCTGCAAGCGCTCCTTAAGGGTGTTTCACCTGTGGCCAGAGTCCAGCTGGCTGGAGTTTCTTCAGGTTACTGCCTCTGCGCTTCAGAAAGCTCTCTGTAGATAAGCATGTGAGCAAGCATGAGCTATAATTATAAAATAATGAAATGATTTTTCTGTACAACCTATGGCTATCGTTCTCCTGAAGATTGTCTGGCTAGTCAAATATTTTCCCCTTATTCTGCCAGGTTTCTCAGAAATTTAATTAAAAAGGGCTTTGATGGTGTGTATCCAAGGGAAACCAATTCCTGGTTTTAACTAAGGAAGAAATGAATACTTAGAGCAAGTTGCTATGATGGTCCAAGGCGAGCACAAGGAGGGTTTTGAAACATTGAACTCGTATGCCAAATCCAGCCGACAGCTCAAAGAATTTGTTAAGAAAGATATTTCTTTGGAGTAGAGAATATCATGGAAACATTTGATTCAACGTGACTTTTTAAGAGGTGCATGTCAAGTACTCCTCGGGAAGCAATTGCTTGGGTCCCTACAGTCATTCTGCTTTAAGCATCCTGTGATCTCAATTTCAATTATAATACTTCTTCAAATGAATTTTATTTATATATTTCAATCCATCATTGTCTGATTCCCTATGCTGTCTTTGGTATTCTTGCCCTGGACTGCAGTTATGTTCTGGCCGAAAGAAGGCAGCTTGTGTTCAAATACAACTAGAACAGGTTAAATTTTTCAATTAGATGCATGAAATTGAGGAAGAGAATCTTTCCACGACTCAATTTGTTTCACCATAAAATGGAGCTAGTAATACCTACCTGTCAGGTTGCAATGAGGAGTGACTGTGACCATGTGTGGGAATATTTGCCAACTACAATTTGGGATGAGTAAGTCTGGGACCAAGGTGAGGCAAGTGAGGAGCAAAATTTAAGGGGGCCCCCAAAAACCAGTAACCAAGGTAAATAATATTTAATGCAATACTTTTTAAAAGCCAAATCATGGGGCTGACCCAGTGGCATAGTGGTTAGGTTCGCGCACTCTGCTTCAGCAGCCCGGGGTTTGCAGGTTTGGATCCTGGGCGTGGAGCTAGCGCTGCTCATCAAGCCACACTGTGGCAGCGTCTCACATAAAACAGAGGAAGACTGGCACAGATGTTAGTTCAACAGATGTTAGCTCAGGGCCAATCTTCCTCACACACACACACACACACACACACAAGTCAAATAATGCAAAGTAATCCATGATGAACAAAATATCAAAAATATGGGCTCTGGGTATGAGAATGTGAGAGTTATAATCATCTGTTTGATAGGGGTATACAGGACAGACATTTAATCAACCGTCTTTGCCACGTCACACAGTTTTAAGACTGTCCTTTGTTTTCAGCAAGTGCTCTCAGAGCCGGGCTGCCATCTACTGCTGCTGCCTCACTGTCCCATCAGCGGGAAGCTGTTCGCAATTTACTGTTTGCTTGAGCTCTTGCTTTCTCTTCTTCGCACTGACTTGTTGCCTTTCTGACGATTCCTTCATTCTTCAAGCTCCTCCATTGTCCTCCAAGGGGCGCTCTGGTTCTTTTAAAAAAATGCCTGTTTTAGCGCAAGATTTGGTGCCAACAGTCCTTTAAACTTGTTTTTTTCTGACATTGGACTCTTGCACCAAATGCTGGCTTTTCTGAGGCTCTCAAGGTGACATATGTAAAAAGAAGCACCTGCTGCAGTGTACACTCTCAGGGGAGTTGTTCACACAGAGTGGCCTTCCCTGGTCCAGCCAGGTGAAAAGCCCATTGATGCAACCCACAGATTTCACGGAAACCCAAAGGCAGTGTTTAAATGTGGATTATATGAAGCAAGTTTAGAAGTCTAGAACACGTGTCCCTGACAGGGAGAACTTTCTCAAATTCTCTCCGGTGCAAGCAGGGGCTATTCATTGATTTCTTGTTATCACCATCATCAGATGCCCATTTCTACCAGTAGTAACTATTCTTTACTGCTTACTGTGTGCTAGTTTCTGTGCATTCATTCTGTCATCCAGTCCTTATGACATCCCTTTGGGGTAACAATGATTAGCCCATTTATGGATGAGGATGCACACAGACTTAGAGAGGCTATTGCATTTAGCAGTAATAGATTCATTCACTTATTCATTCAACACATATTTATAAAGTTCCTGCAATGTTTGAGGCTCTGTGTTATATCTTTGGAGGCTAAAACTCTGGCTGAGTTAAGCAGAAAAGGCTTTATAAAAGGATACTCAGTGGCCTCACAGGATCCTGGGGAGATGTGGCTATACCAACAAGGACAGAGCTTAATGTCCCATTGCAGACCCAATCTGGTGAGGAAATTGTCAACCCTGGCTCCACTGTCATGGGTACTGGAAGATGCCATCAGCACCGCTACCCTGGGGACGAGACTGCCACCCCCACCAGACAGCATCTTTGATGTCCTTGCTGCTTTGCATCATTAGCTCTCCTTTCAAGGCCTCATTTGGAGCATCTGTTTGGAAGAACATAAGTCACATGTTCACACCCTAACTACAGGGAAGCCTGGGAACATGAGTGTCCGGGGACTTCTACAGTAGGAGGTGGGCTGGGTCTTCAACAAAGATTCAATTACCAAAATATAGAAAGGGACTTCAGATGCTGATACATCCAGAAGAACGATAAGTGACTACGTTGGGTCCTTGTCCTTCAGGCACTTACAAACTAATGGAGAGAAGATGCACACAAATGACCATAGTTTGTAAGATAGGCCACTGAAATGATGTGGACAAAGGGAGCTTCTTGTGGGGAGAGGTGAGAGATCAATTCTGGCCGGAGATAACAAGACAGACTCAGAGAAGGGATTGCACTTCTGCCGGGTCTTAAAGACTGGAAGACTTCGGAGAGAGAACAACAGTGAATGGGTCAAATAAGAAGGACGATTCAAAGAATAAGGCACCCAGGCAAAAAGTCCCAGGTGAGTTGGCAATGATGTGTCCTCACTGTGCTAAGTAGAGAGCTAGAAAGGGAGATCTATTGCCGAGATCTAGACGTGAGATGATAGATCCTAGCCAAGGTGTGTGACCATGGCGAAAGGAAAGAAGGAGTAGACTCAAGAGTAATTATGAGAGAAGGATCACCTGAGTTCATTTCTCCTTTTAGTGCTGTCCTGGTTAAAATTCCTTGTGTCTATGATAATTTGAGTAACGTCTGTCTCCTCTATCTGATGGGGCCTCCGTGAGGCAGGGAGCACATCTGCTCTTCCCTGCCTCGTACACCCAGTGCCCTGCACTGTGTCAGTTGCATAGAAAGAGCTCGGTAGATATTTACTGAGGGGAAGATAGGTGGATAAAGAGACTGATACATAATTAGATAGAGAAAAGGAAATGGAGATAAGGATGATTCTGAGGTTTTCGGTCATATGGAAGTCTTATAGACATGTTGAATTTGAGGTTCAAAAGGAACATCTCAGGAGACTTTTTCAATGGTTTTTGGAGGTGAGGGGAAAATGATTTCTAGCCTAACAGAATTAGGCAGGTCAGTCAGTTCTGTCTAGGTGTGCAACGGCTAACACATCTCAAGTGTGCATTGCAATGATGACATCTTACAAATGCAGGATAGAAAACTGCCTTTGGGAAAAAATGATGTTTGAGTATTGCCTTTTATTTCACATTATCTGTGCCACTGTTCACGTATTCCCCTAACTAGTACAAATATTCAGGACAGTCCTATGTGGTCTGAGTGGAGAGGCATCTCCTCTGACGAGCTTTGTCCAGATGTCTGTCCCTCACACTTGCATTGTGAAACAGAATAAGAGCAATAGCCAATCCAGGTGGGGAGAAGAAAAAGAATTCATGTCAAAGATGCAGCCCCACGTTCCCCCGGGGGCACTAGAAGTCCATTAGGAGCCCCCAAGAAGGATCTGTGTGAAAGCGTGCCTTGGTCTTATGCCGAAATTCATCTCAAGAGCTGATTGACTTTTCAGTGAGGATGTATGTTTGTTTTTTCGTCTTGTTCTCCTGGACTCACGTGACCCGAGCAGGGTTGGGTGGCTAACAGGAGTGCAGGATCTAAGGAATTACACAGCGCTGGAGGCTTTCCACCCAGCTCCCCTGGTAACAGCCAGGTGATAGGGGACATTTGATAAACTAAGCTGCTTTAGCCAGAGAAGGAAGCGAACTGTTGTTTCCTTACAGCTAACTGTTTCTCTCTCAATAATAAGAAAAGTGAATGATAGAGATCCTCTGTGTCTGCCCCGAACTCAGTTAGAAATAACAAGCGAATCTGGGTCTCAGGGATCTCAGAAGAAAGAACATTATCCAGGCTAGCAAGCTGGGGACATGTTTGAAGAAGAGAAAACCAAGTAGTGGACATTTGTGGCTTTGAGCTTCCCAAAAGCCTTTATTTTGGTGACAGAACCCCCACCTTCCTTTGGACAATTACACCTGCCCACTCGGAGGCCTGGCTACCAGGGCAGGCATGTGGCCCCGGCCCGCCTGCGGAGAGTGGAGAGCACGGCCCCCGTGGCTGGAGAGGTTGGGTTAGAGACTGGCCCGTTTCTCACCAAGTCGGTCAGAGAAAATCCTGGGGTCTGTAGCTATTGTCCTGCCTGAGTAGTTTCAGAAATGTATGGGCCGAGCTTCATAGCACAATTGCATCAAAAGCGTATTGGAAATTTCTTTGGAAAATGAATTTACCCAGCAGCTCTTTGTTCACCCTTTGTAACAACACTAAACACAAGTGTTACGCACTGAATGTTTGTGGCCCCCAGAGTTCCTATATTCAGACCCCCTGACGTGACGGTATTAGGAAGGGGGGCCTTTGGGAGGTGATTCGCAAAGTGGAGCCCTCATGAATGGGATTCGTGCCCTTATGAGAAGGAACAGGAGAGTCTGCTTTCTCTCTGCTCTCTGCCGTGTGCGGATAGGACGAGAAGATGGCCATTGGCAAACCAGAGAGAAGGCCCTCACCGGACCCCGCATCTGGTTGCCACCTTGATCCTGGCTTTCTCAGCCTCCAGAATTGTGAGAAATAAATGTCTGTTGTCTAAGCCCCCAGGAGACAGTATTCTGTTATAGCAAACTGACCCAACAAACACAATGAGCTATTTTGTCTGAGAATTATTTGTGGATCTGTGTGTCTCCCTCACTGGGCTGCGGACCCAGGGGACAAAGGCCATATCTTTCTTTTTTTATCTTATATTCCAAGTGCACTTAACTCAGTGCCTCACACGTGAAATCTTTAGATATGTTTATTGAAATGAATCAACCTCAGTCTGCCCAGGCATGAGTGATGGATCCCCTAAAATGATGGGCATAAAAGCAAGCTGCTATTCAGAGAGATTCTGCAACCTACTCAAGGTTTCACTTCATGGCTATATCCTGAAGTAGATAACTTTATGAAAACAGTACTTCACTTGCTAGAGTCTTCCATAAGACATCTCCTTCAGAACTAAAAGCAAACTGCTTTGCTCCCTGAGGAAAGAGTCTTTTTCCCCTGGTGAATAAGAAAATCTGTGTAAATGACCATATTTCTTTCTTTGATTTGGCCGCCAGGAAACTCTGAGGCAAATTTACTGCTCAATTATTATGGTTGTGTAAGATCTTTTTGGTTCCCTCATCTTCATTCTGCACTTATTCTATTTTATGTGAAATTTCTTTTTTCTTTTTTTTTTTTAAATATTGGCACCTGAGCTAACAACCATTGCCAATCTTCTCTCTTTTTTTTGCTTTTTTTTTGCTTTTTCTCCCCAAATCCTCCCAGTACATAGTTGTATATTTTCAGTTGTGGGTCCTTCTAGTTGTGGCATGTGGGATACCGCCTCAACATGGCCTGATGAACGGTGCCATGTCTGTGCCCAGGATCCAAACTGGTGAAACCCCAGGCCGCCACAGCGGAGTGTGCGAACTTAACCACTTGGCCATAGGGCCAGCCCCACGAAATTTATATTTTATTATATGGATTTCCTATATTGCTTGTTGAACAAGGTATGAGATATTAATAAGCCAATTCTCTCTCAAATAATACAATGTTTTTCAAAGTGCAGGCGTGCCTGAGACAATAGTGCCAAGTATCTAGCACAATGGGCTGTTTGCTTGGCTCCTATAAGGTGGAATGCATTGTCTTCCTAAAACATAGCTCCTGCTCTGAAGATGGCACTCATGGTGAGAGCTTTTTGCTGGGCTTCTGCCCTGACCAGCAATGAAGTATTCAACCTCGATAGATTCTGTGTTCTAACAGGGAGTTAGCTCACTGCTCAACTCCCTTTGGATTAATGGGTTAATGTTTGGAATCATTTGAAGAGTTCTACGTCTCCCCCATCTTAGTAGCAATGCTAATCCTGGTCTTTGTGAAAGATGAGGGTGCCATCCATTCTAGGAAGCCACTTCCCTTGGGAGTCTGCTGAAGTCACCAGAAAATAGGTAGAGCCAGCTCCCAGTAACAAGGAATCACATCTGGGCATCTGAATATGACTCAGAGTCACCAAACGAGGGCGATCGAAAGAGTTTGGAGGCAGAATCTCGGACTTACAGGGCACGGGACCATCAAGATTTCCAGGAGAAATTACGGAAACATCTGCAAGGTCAGGGCAGGAAGTCCAGGCGGCTTCTCAGGGAGGGAAACGCCGTCCTTAGGACGGCTGCCCGGTGCTGAAATGCTGTATCCCCAGGGCCAAGGAGGCCGCCTGCAGACCTGGGAGCCAACTCCAAGAAGGACCGAGAGTCCATCAACACAACTCCAAGTCCTTCAGCCACACAGAGGTGAGGACAAGCTTTGGGACCCGGTAAACTGTGCTAGCCAGGCCAGGATGCCCATCAACATGCATTGCATGACAATAAGAATCTGTGTTCAGGAAATCTCCACCGGGCTGCATTTGCTCCTGTTCTCACCCAGGCTTTGCTAATCGCAGCCCTGCAAAGGGCTAATCAAAGGATAAAACAAACAGGGTTGATTGCTGAGTTATAATCAAACAGTTGTGAAACTTAGCAATTTCGCTGCTTGGAAAATACACGGTCTCAAAACCTCAGCTGAATAACAGATAATTAGCCAGAAAAATAAATCCAGGAGGGGCTTGGACTGCTTTGGGTATGAAAGGAATGTCTCCCTTCTGCTCCACGGGGGTGTGGTGAGGTAGGACTGGGGTCGGGGTGGGACTCTTGGGGATTCCCTTCGGGTCCTGCCAGCTTGACAAGAAGCCCCCTGCGTCTCTGGGTTGAGTACCCCAGCACACATCCAACCCTTCTTCGCTGCTCACAGCCTCTCACACTGTTCCCCAGAAGAAAGCGCACTTTCAGCCCGAGCCCTTTAGAATCACCTCCTTTGTGACCCTCACACTTTACATCAGCCCAGCATTGTTCAGTATGACAGATGATCCAGCCTCCTGGATTTCTTTAAATAATAAGAGAACATTTGCTCTCTGGAAATACCACGCTGCATCCAAATTTAAAAAAGAAAAATAGGAGAGGAAAGCACTCAAACAAATCTTTTGGAACCGGGCTCCTGTGGTAACATACCGAATAAAGGAAAACAGGAAAGCAATCGCAATATTAAAAATAGATGACTTCCTGCATGTAAATTCTTCGCTGACCTTGTTGATTGGAGTGTGGTCAGTGTTTGCTGGCCTGCCACCGCCTGACTTCGTGAGAGTTCATTCCAAGGGACAGTTCTCAGGGCTCAGATGTTCCACCCCCCATTTTAAAAGCATTTATTTATAAATCTGCTTTTTGGCATCTAACCTTTTCTCCTTGATCCTCAATGCCTATCAGAGATGCCTCCCTTATCCTTTGTTCCATTTCTATGTGTCTATGGAGAATTCACTGAATATTGAGGATACCCCGGAGCAGAGATGGTACCTGTGCACAGCACCACACACCGTGATGATATCAGTGCCCACTGCTAACGAAGCATGAAAGTAATAAGGGAGCAGATAATGCCTTATCCTGCTGAGAGAGCATTCATCCACCCAGGGAATACTTAATGAGCACCTATTGCATGCCAGGCACTGCTCTGTGCACTTTGCACACACCCATGCCTGGTTGGATGGATAAAACAGACAATAAACAATAAGCAGAGTAAATAAGTAAATTACACAGTGTATCATAAGGCAGACGTAGAGAAAAAAGGAAAAGCATACTAGGGTAAGGAGTATTGGTAAGCAGGTAGTAGAGAAGCAAAGACTTGATGTGAGGCAAGGAGCTAGGCAGATATCTGAGAAAGTGTCCAGGCTGACAGACAGCCCAAGCAAAGGACCTGAGGCAGGACTGTTACCATTAGTCAACAATAAGACTTAGCTTCCCTCTCTTCCACTGTCAGGAGGCCTCAGACAAGACAGTTATTCACAGTGGACAGCAGAGGAAATGACTTTGAAGCAGCTGGAGTAACAATGAAAATGGTTTCCACAGCCGGCTCTCTGGAATTGGGGTGTGCATGGGTGAAAAGGAGAGGTAAAAGGTTAAAGAAAAGGAGCACATTCCAAGATTCTGCTCCCTGGGAGGAGAATAAGAACTGGAATCTAAAGGGCACGCCCAAAACAAATCAGCAGGAGACAGGAGGGTCATCGTGTTTTGATTCCCCATACAGTTATGAGTGAGGCTCGCTGCCTTCTGAGGCACCCGTGGAATTTGGCCCTGGATCACAGAATTTTAGGACTGAATTTTTCCTTCCTGGCCATGGGGTCACTAATCCCCTCCTCTGCATAGCCTGCTCACTGGAGTTTTCTTAACCATTTTCTGTTCAAGGCCACTCTTGAAATTAGATCCAGCCAAGGGATGGTCAGTCCCTCTCAGGGCTGCCCCCTCCTCTCTCCAGCAAGGCAGATTAAATTCACTGAAATTTGAGGTCCTGGGGGAATTCAACCCATGGTTAAAGAGGCATGGGACAGGGCCGGCCGGGTGGTGCAGTGGTTAAGTGCGCATGTTCCCCTTTGGCAGCCCAGGGCTCACCAGTTCAGATCCTGGGTACGGACCTACGCACTGCTTATCAAGCCATGCTGTGGCAGGCGTCCCACATAGAAAGTAGAGGAAGATGGGCACAGATGTGAGCTCAGGGCCAGTCTTCCTCAGCAAAAAGCAAAGGGTTGGCAGCAGATGTTAGCTCAGGGCTAATCT